TAGGGCAGGCCTTACCTAGAGGGCACCTGTGAATGGAAACTCTGACAGAAGGAGGGCAGGACCTCAGAAGTAAGAGTATTCTTGGCAGAGGGAAGAGCATGTGCAAAGGCCCTGAGGCAGAAGCCTGCCTGGTGTTTTGGGGGACTAACAAGGAGGCCAGTAAGATGCAAGGGAAGTGACCAATAGAGACAGGAGCATTTCACATTTTCACAGGTAACTGACTATAAGGGCCATGAGATTGGAGACAGGAGCTCATGCTTCTTTAATTGCTCATGAAGCCTAGCATGGCAGAGGCTCCAAAAGGTCCTAGGACTTCAGAGGAGAGAGAGGTCTTGGAGACTAGACAGGCCAAGCTGTGCCCAGTGCCAGGCACAGGGGGAAGTGGCTGTAGGCAGTTCCTCTCAGAAACCATGGGTCCATCCCTATCCTCTGGACAAAGTGTGCTGACTAGGTGTGGTACCAGTGCCTAAATCAGGGCCACCCTTGATGTAGGGCCATTGGTAGAAAGTAACTACCCCCCTCCAATTAGATCCTTTCCCAGAGAGAAACACACAGCTGAGGGTACAGAAGCCCCAAGGTAGAGCCACCAATAGGGAGAGAATCAGAGAGACTTCTGGTTCTGAAACGAGTCAGGCTCTCTCTCTCTAAACATAAATGCCAACCCTCTTCCTACCGGACTACATAAAGTAGAACATCTCTGAAAGCAGAGCTGTGCTCGTAGGAAAGCGAGGCAAATTCCCAGGAGCCCGCAGAGAAGCCAGCAGCCAGGTGTGCCAGTGAAATCCCCAGAGATCAGAAGACAGGTCATGTAGCCAGAGTTCCAGGCCCAGGAACCAAAGGTCTCCTCTAAGATTTCGTAATTATGTGTCTGGGGTTCGAATGAATATCACCTCCAAGTTCAGGAACCCCTCCTCCCCAAGCTGAGACGTTAATGTGAAACTGGCTTCCAAGTGGTTAATTCCAGGAGTGCTTGGCCAAAATTAAGGCCAATAGCACTGGGCAATGGTACCTTCCTATTAGGCCACTCAGGGTTCTCAAGAAAGTCTGGTTGCAAAACCCACAAGGAAAGAATCTACCATGAGCGAAGATTGGCAGATGGAAGATCAAGCTGGCTTAGATCCCCAAGAGTTCAGATAACCCAATAGCTAGATAGAGACTGTGGAATAAGTATCATTAATACGATATACAGCATAAAAGGAGCATTCAAAAAGATGAGGAAATCAGACGCTTGTCAAAACAGTCTGAAGTTCCTAGTTGAATAAAGAATCTATTTTAAAAATTCTATCTGAAGGAGAATCAAATAGAACTTGAGAGAAATAGTCACTGAAAATTTGAAAAAAAATCAGATTAGACTCAGGCGAAGAGAAAACTGGCGAATGAGTGAACAGGAAGATGTGAAGAAATCTCTCAGGCTTCGGCACACATAGGGCTGGATGAGAAACAGTGAAGTGAATAGGAGAACCACAGAGGAGAGGGGCAGAAGGCCCACATGTGTCCAGCAGGAGTTCCAGAAGCAAAGAATAAAGGAACAAGAGTGATACGATATTTGAAACGATAACAAAAAGAGAGAAGAAAAAAAAAAAAAAGAACGAAAAGGTAACAGCTGAGGATTTTCAGAATGATGGAAAAAATCTGAATATTCTAAGGCCATATAATGAGTCTCAAGCGGGATAAACAGAAACCCACAGGTGAACACTTCAAAGCGAAACTGCAGAATACCAGAGCAAGAAAGTCTGTAACTAGCCAGAGGGACAATGCAGGCTGCTGGGGGACCTTGAGCTGATAACGAGCAGATTTTCCAGCAGGGACAATGAATTATTGTCAATGGGCTGAGAGCAAATAACTGTCCGCCTGGACCCCCACACCCAGGTAATCTTTAGTTCAGGGTGGGAGGGTAAAATAAAGACATTTTCAGGCAACGAAATAATTGCGAAGTGCCCATGACGAAAACCTTGCAGAAAAACACTTCTGAAAGATGCCTATCTGGAGAAAAGGGCTGGTGAGCCGAGAGAAATCAGCAAACAAAGGGCTGGATTTAAACAGGCATCCATGCGACAAAGCAATAGCCAAGTATAAAAACACAGGAAAGCGAACTTGACACTGGGGTACATCAGCACCATCAGCTGGGGCTGGTCCCTGAGTTCCAGGTGTTCTAAGGGCCAGGATGGGGAGAAACCATCAATTAACGGAGAATGTTCTCAGTGCGCACGTATGCAGCGACCTTTGAAAGGGCAAGCACGAAAAGACTGTAGATGGAATGAATGTGTTGCAAAACAGTAGAGGAACAAAATGGGAATTCAGGTGATCCGATCGCTAAAATTACAGGTAGAACAGGCTTCCGGACCCCCCCAGGCCTTGGGGCAGAGGTCTCTACACTCTGCAACCTGCTAGAGCTGTTTGAGGCATGGGTGAGCCAAGACCCAGAGATGAGGGGCTTGCTCCAAGTACTTCCCCATCCTCCCACTTCCGAGTCACGGTTGAGCAGAAGACAGGTACAGGTGGGTGAGGGTATGTGTGCCCGGTGAGGGGACACGCGGTGCTCCTGAGTTGCAGTCCCCGGGCTTAGCTGAGATGCTGTAAAGGGGAGACTCATGCAGGGTGACAGGCAGCAAGGGAGAGCATGACCTCCGGTGACTTCGAGGGAGGCAGCAGTGGAAGGGGCAGATGGGCCCTGCCGAGCCTAGCACCCAGTGGTCTAGGAAGACAGGGCCCTGACCCCTGCTCCCGGGGAGTGCTGACTCTCACCTGACTCTGAGTAGCCCGTGGCCGTGATTATGGGGACGGCCACCATGAGTAGGCCTGAGGCGCTCCACACGTACTTCATGAGGAACTGCTCCAGCATGACGTACCACAGGCGCTCCAGCAGGATGAGGTTGATCTGCGAAGCCAGGGCTTTGTAGGAGTGTTGTAGCAGGGCCAGCTCCACCTGCCGGGGAGGGGGCGACAGAGAGAGCCTGAGAGGTCACATGGTAACTACTGTGGGGGTGACAGCAAGAGGCCCCAAGTGCTGTGGGCGTGCGCACACACGTGCCATGCCAACTGATGGCCATGACAAGGTTGACAGCTGGGGGTTATGACTGGGCCACGTTTATAGCGGACAGGTCTCAAACTAGGGGCGAGGGGGGCGGTGCGGGATTGTCTGATGCCATGGCACTGGGGTACAGTGGCAGTGAAGAAGAGACTCCTGTCCCCCACCTGCCAAGGCCCATTCCCATCCACTACCTGTGGGATTGAGGCGCTCGCCATGCCTCTGTCTTTGTCCTGTGCAGCTTTTTGACACGGGCCAAAGGCAGCCATCTTGCCCGTTTCTTTGGGTACCTGCTGGGGACTAACCTGAAGCCAGCAAAGGGCAGTACAGGAAAGTAAAAGGCAGCACTTCATTTTGAAGAACTTGGTTCAACAATCTACTTAGGCCTACTTAGGCCCTGCCTCCCCCTACCCTTCCCAGGGTTCCTCTGGGTGAGAAACTGCCACTGCATTCTCCCACTGAAACCTGGAGGGAATGCTTCCTGGCCAGGCCCACAGGCCTCGCCCGATAATGGCAGCCCTGCCCCTGAGCCTGGCCCTCAGCATCGCTGTGAGCCAGCTGAGGACTGTAGCCCACGGCTCAGCAGTGAGGTGGGCCTCTCCTGCCCTCCCCACCCCTCCCTCTTCTCACACTGGCCACCATCTCCCATCCTGAAATGGGTACAGGCCTGGAGAAGAGAGAGAAAGGAAGGGAGAGGGAGAGAAAGAGGCAGGGGAGCTGGAGGTGCCAGGAGATGGTCACAGCAAGGCGGTTATTGGGTCATGGCATCCTTGACTCAGTACGAGAGCGTATATCCCAGCTCCGCCTTCCCACCTCTGACTGTCAACAGCTGCCCGGCCTGGCACCATGTCCTTTGCCAAGTGCTCTCACACCTGACTCGACATTTGGTTCTCACCACACGCCACTGCACCTGTATTCTGTATTCTCATGTCCATTGTACAGTAGGACACTACAGAAGCCCAGAAAGACAAAGTGACCTGCCCAAGCTCACACACCTGAAGGGAGCAAGAGGTGTAGGATTTGGACCACACTGGCAGAGCCATGAGGCCAGATTCTTGTAAATGATGCTTTGACTTATTAAGAAAAGTTTACTTTGCTCTCAAGCCAACAAGGGGTCGTGTACGTATATGTGTTTGTGCACATGTCTAAATAACTCTCCTGGTTGAAATCTCAGTAAGAACAGAATACTCTGCTGTCTGCCTGCCAGCAGGCCGGTCGCCTCTGCCCTAACCTGTTGGTCTGAGTCTGAGCCAGTGTCCGTGAGGACACGAGCCAGTGGGACTGGGGTGAGCCACATGCCTGCACAATAAGGGCTATCAGCCCACCCATGGGGACCTGTCACCCCACGCTGCTTTCCAGCCCTTTCGCAGAAGCCTAAAGAGATAGGCTACGGATGCACCGTGGGGTTGACCCCGCTCTCATCTCCTGCCAGCAAATCTTCCTGGCGAACACGCTACCTCCTGAAGCTAGCCCAGAGGAAGTCCCCAAAGAGCCAGATCTCTCCTCTGCCCTCACCATACAGGTCCTCCGCACGGTGCGGTTCGGCCCAGCCTCAAGCTCAATCCTCTGTTCCTGAAGTGAGCGTGCTTCCTCTGAGCACCCTGGCAATCCTGACTCGTGCTGGGAGCTGGCAGGAGTGCCAGCTGGGGCTGACAATGTAGCTGCGGGTAATGTGCCAAGTGCCTCACCCAAGGCCCCGGCTGCCTGCCAAGGCCCTGCAGCCCTGGCGTGCGCTAGAGGACGAGAGGGGGTTGTGGCTGCAGACCAGGCGCTTTTTCTCCTATTCTGGAGCCGGATGCGCAAGAGGCCACCTGACCCAGAGAGGACACACAGGCCTTCAGGAGATGGATGCCATTATGCCCCTCCCCCGAAAAGCTCTCAGAACCGAAACCAGAGTTGCAGGGAGCGGGGCCTGAGGCAGCTGCAACCCCAGGCACGAGGAAGGGGAGGGGCCGGGGCGAGATAAAGGGAGCATTGGCCTGGAGTAACCTTTCCCAGTACCGGGCTCCCAGCCCTGCCCGGCCCCAGCCCTGGCCCCGGCCTCAGCCCTGGCCCACTGGGGAGCTGAGCCGGGGGGACCCAGGCGGAAG